GAAGAGACCTAGAATTGAGACCACGTTTGTCAGTGAGGATGACGTGTTATCGAGCAAATTCCGAAGCCACTTGCCTCTGTTTCTGCGAGAAAGCTACAGGAAAGTGACGATGAAAGTAGATCTGATGAGAGTATCTCCTTCGAAATGCCAGTGGCCGAGGGATATCGGCTCGTGCACATGGAAAGTCTTCGAGAGTTTGTTGAGAGGATTCACTCAGCCAGCCAAGATTGTGCTTCAGGTAAAGTTATGTAAACTTATGTCCATACCTACTTGAACCAGTTTTCCAAACGGTGAATTTCTCCTTCAGGCCAATTAAAACTTAAAAATAAATCTTCTTATTTTCTCATGTCCTTTAGCCTCCATTAGGTTAGTGGAGAATGAAAGCGACAGATTTGGTCTGAGTAGCAGCTTGTACGCCATTTGTGATAGCTGTGCTATGAAAGAATTTCATGCCACCGGATGTCACAATATTCCCGATAGAGTTCCGAGGTCAGGGAAAGGATATTAACAGGCGGATAGTGTATGTTTCCTATGAAATGGGAGTGGGAAAGGAAGGTATTGCAAAACTCTGTGAAGTTCTCAACATACCCTTCACAATGTCGAAATTGACTTGGTACAGTCATGAAGATGTGTTACTTCAAGCACACGAGGATGTTGTGCACAAAATGCTTGCAAGTAACAGAGAAGAAGCGAGAAGGATTGCTCTTGGGGAAGATGGAGTGGAATATTCTGACACTGCTTGAAGAGAAGTACTAGTTAGTTTCGATGGAACTTGGTCTAGGAGAGGGTTCTCAGCTAATCATGGAATTAGCTTTCTAATTTCTGCCTCAACTGGAAAGGTACTTGACTACGAGTGTCTTTCATAGATTTGTAACATGTGCACCCAGAAGAAGGCCACTATGTCTGAGGAAGAATTTGAGGCATAGTATAGTGTAGTGTTGGAACCTTTACAAAAAAAGCTGGTAAAAAGAGGGATTCAGAGAGAGTGTCAGAAGCAGAGAAAAGAATTCAGGGACAACACAAAAAGTACAGACTTGCCAGGAGCCAAGCAAGGAAAAGGGATGAGAACATGAGACTTAACAAAGAGGGCAAAAACATACGAGGCTGGAGCCTTTAATTTTTAGCTCCCAAGAGTGAAAAAATGACTTAAAATAGTTCATTTTCACTTCTTTTCATTTCAAAATTGTTGAAGAGTGATATTTTGGAGCTTAATGATGCTATAAACACCTTCAAGTGATATGGCATTGGTTAAAGGAGGAGTTTTCCCTTGTGTCAACTTTAACAGCAGTTTTCTCAAAACTGCCCTTTCATGGTAGTTGCTATCTGCCCCCACCTTTTTTTTACTTCAATTTATGACCAATTGTTGTGAAAATTGGCACAGGCTATCCTTTTGATGTAAGCTGTGATCCTATTGAGCAAAATTGGATTAAGATAAATAATTAAGGAGATACTAGATCAACATTCTTATAAGGAAGTGGTTGGTTGCCATTGTAGCACCAAAGACCCTATTCCGAATCCACACCATAGGATCATGGTTTAATCCATGCTAGTTATGCCTAAGAAGTTATAACCTTTTGCCATTAATTCTGTAGGAAAAAAATATGGGGGGCAGACAGCAGCCCCCATTTTATGATATGAAATTCAGAAGTTAATAATTAACCATGGTTTAACCATTTCATCTCAATTTCAATTTCCTGAATAGGTCTCTCTGAAGTGATGAACTGATCAAAATTTCTTAGTTGGGTCCAAGACAAAATAAAGAGGTATGCAAGGTATTTCGAACAGTTAACGAGCAGGAGAAAGAATCAAGGAAGCTTCTAAGTTGATTAGATTAGTATTTACGGGAAAATGTCAAATTCTTAATTGATTTGAAGGTGTGAAAACCATAGAAGAAAATGGAGTTATATGCGACTTTTTCTTCGCCTCTCTTAATTGCTCACTAAATTTTATCTCAAGAAAGGCAATGATGAGAAGACACTAGTTGGTGATTCGTGGGTCTGTCAGCTTTGAGAATAGTTAGTCTTTGATCTAACTCACATCTGATTTGCGTTCGTTAAATTCTTCATGTGCCAGATGCCTCCGAAAGAATAGGGGAATAGGAGTATTGAGGTGCATTCCTTTGGGACGATCCGGATTTGGATTTGTGATCCAAGATCACACTGATCACGGTGCATGAAAGGAACGAAGTTTTAGGGTGCGTTCCATCGGGAGGATCCGGATTTGGATTTGTAATCCAAGATCACTCAGATCACGGTACATGAAAGAACGGAGTTTTAGACGAGCTCTCAGGAAATTCCAAAAAGTGCGCTATTTTAAGACTTGTGTATGCACTCGGGTTATTGAGCTCGTCCCTGAATGGCTCGTCTAACTGCACGGTTTTTCAGCTCGCTCTATTCATTAAAAGCACATTTTTTCATGATAAACTCAAATGCTGGAATTTAAACAGAAGCAAGTATTGATTACGATACGGAGACCGGGGAACCCTGAATGCCTGCGATCAGTGGCCGATCGATTTAACGTTACAAACTCGATTTTATTTTGTGTTTATCGCAGAATTTGTGGAGCGATTGCCAACAATCTTTCCGGTCAATATATGAAGTACCTACTTGTTTGAAATTGAGCACCGCTGGGCAAAATGATTGATTTCGGATCCTTCGCCTAAAGGAACGCGTTGGATCAGTGATCTGAAAATTTGATGGATCACTGATCAGAAATGGATTTGCTTGTTTGAAATTGAGCACCGCTGGGCAAAATGATTGATTTCGGATCCTTCGCCTAAAGGAACGCGTTGGATCAGTGATCTGAAAATTTGATGGATCACTGATCAGAAATCCTGATCCGGATTCTCCCAAAGGAACGCACCCTTGGAAGTATGGTGCATTAAAATAATACAATCAGGAGCTGCGTATCTTTACAGAACAAGAACAAGGGTTGACCATTTCTCCAAAAATAATCAATGCGGAATGCAAAAGTCATCACATTCCTTTGCTGAAGCCTCTGGAGAATCACCTTCTGAGGGAATCTTAAGGTATGAATAAACTGGCGCATCACTAAGGGTTTATACGGGACGCGTGATGAAGGCCAAAGTTAAAATGCGACGCGTGAATTTTACTAAAAGGTTAACGTTATTCGTGAATTTACGAAACTGTATGAGACTTGAAGTATACGTAAACCCTGAAGTTTTTTTTCATAGCATGTAAACCTCAAGATTTCCCTGAAACCATGCACATAAGAGAGGAGATTAGGAATTTTTCCTTTTATATCCGTGAAGCGTGAACTGATTTTTCGAAAATTCGTCGTAAGCTTACAATATCTTACCGGTCCTCTCTTAGCACGAATTAGTTTCAACAAATTCACTAAAGGGATGCGTTTCAATTTGCTTCAGTAAACCCATGGTTATACAAAAGGTTCAGTAAAGCTAAACTTCAGTAAAACATTATCAGCTCAAAAGTCAAGTTAGCCTTGTTACACTAATACCTGTTCCAATCATAGTCTAGACAGTGTTGACGAATTCATGCATCCTCAGTGTTTTGTCCATGTGATGTAACTTCTCTTTCTTTTAATTTTTCAGATCCATGCATACAGAGGGAGGCCTTAAAAACCCTATAATTGTACACTGGTCTGTTTCAAGGCAAATGACACCTAGACATCTATGTGTGAGCAGTGAAAGAGTAATTTTCTTGGATACTATTGGATCAACAGTACTGCATCGCCTTGTGAACTGAAGGAAGAGGAGTAAAATATCTTCAATCTTAAATCTTAAATCCTCAGTTGAAATAAAAATTACTGAACGGGTAACTTCGTGGAAAAACATTTATCTCATATGAATGAATGACGATACTCGGTGATGGCGATGTAAATTCGGCTTTAAGTGTCCTCATTCCAAGGTCGTCTAATTCGAAATTTCTTTAAAAATGAACGGATCATCTTGTTCTGCAACAGATGAGCTACTTATGCCATGACAGGATTACTTCCATCTTTTCTTTGATTAAACGAAATTTTAAAAAAGTTGAAAACAAACTTTTAAAAGAATCTTAAATGTGTTAGGAGTCCATCCTGAATGAATTTAATTAAACAATTTTTTTTCTTGCAGGGAAAAGGAAATTAATTTCCTGTCAATAACTTGCCTTTTGGCATTTGATTAAAAGCCTGATTTATAAATAGTTTTGTTTAATAAAGCGGGTATGGGCCTCTGTTAATGGCCTTTAGTTTCCAACTGTGGAGTTAAAAAAAAAATCACTTAAACATATCAAGGGTTAAAATCAAAGACTTTACCGTTCCATTCTTAACCGTGCAGAGCATTATGTACTCTTAGACCAAAGTTAACAACTAGGGCAATAAAGAATTGAATATTTGTATGAGTAAAACGCACTTACGTTTAACTTTTCGCTGAATTATACAAAATTTTGCCCTTTTTAAGCAACACATTTTCTTAAACCGCGAAAACTGAAGCATTTTGTTTTTATTACATAAAATAAATTTCCGTCTTTTTTGCCTAAATAGTGCCGCTTTGAAGCCAACATTTCACTTTGAAATGGAAAAAAGCATGGTATTTTGCGGAATCGATATGAAAAATATGCCTAAAAGATCTATTTTGGAAAACACAAAATAGCTTGGAAAGCGTTTTACTCTACTTTTTCTGAACTTCAAACTCCATACTCAACAATTTACACCAAATTTTCAAAATGAAAGCTTGTTTAAATTTGAGGTTTGTTAATTGTCTCTAACAACAAGACGTTAGGCTGAACTAAACAGCTAACTGAGGTTTGATAATTTTTTTTCAGCCTGATTTTTTTATTCGTACATAAAAAACGAATAAATGAGTCTGTGTGGGATGGTGTTAGCCCTGAAATATATATACATACAGTGCCTTCATTATCTACTCATTGAAGAAGCCTTATTTTAGATGGGAACATGTTCTATTCATGACCATTTTCTACTCCGTGATTTTTTTACATTGGTTGGAGGTTATTCAATTGATACCTTCTTATTTTCTCTTGCAGTTACGTGAACGTCGTCAGTCTTCTTATGAAGAGTGCCTAAGTTTTGTAAGGAAGCGTAAGTAAAATATTTTGATAGGTACTATTTTATCTGAAATGCAACCACTTCTTGTAGTGTTTCCATTTCGGATGTGAACGACGACGTTTCGACTGCGTTTGCTACTCTTCTTGAAGGAATAAGGTCGACTGGTAACTCTTCACCTAATGAAGCATTATTCTGCTATCGCTTAGCTAACCTCTCTCCAGCAATTTTATTTTAGGTTGCCTTCGTTCACGTCTGAAGAAGCAGAAACAATATCTTGATCAGCGAACGAAGAGATTCTTCAAGAGAGAAAAACGAGGTAATAAAAGAATGTTTAGTTTGTGAAAATCATTCTGGCTTAGATTAAAGGATTGCTAATTTAAATATGGCCACGCATTTGGCATGTGACTGGTTATTTTGCTATATGTAATAGAAGTGACCTGAAATCAGACAGATTTTTGCTATATTTAGTCCGAGTTCGTAAACATGAAAGCAAATGGTCACGGGCAAAGAGTTTCCATCATAAAGTACAGCACCTGTGTTATCATCATCTTCCCTTGGCACAAGTGGTAAGATGAAATAATCATTTCAATCTTCAAAGCATAATATAAGCTGCCTATTAAGGTTTTCTAGCCGAATAATAGTCAATCACAAGGGCTCTTCACATGATGGTCTCAGTTTTCGCTTAATCTGGTACCGTATGGAGCTTTGTGCTTGGTTTTCTCTTTGAGAGTGCTCAGTCTTTGTATTATTTTGCTTATTTCTCACTACGACCATGTTCAAATTGAACAGGTATTGATGCAAAATGGCCTGATAGTACGGGAGGCCAGTTTCATGAAAATGTTTAATATTCCGTTTCACTCAAGTAACCCTTAGTAGTGATTAGCATGCAATTTCTCCTTACAATATTACCCCTGAATCACATATTAAGGTTATGAGAATAAAGAAAATGATAACCAACGAAAGAATGTTTTGATCGGTAAACAAATTCTCCTTGTCAGCACCTTAAGGAATGTATAAAGAACAGTATGGAGAATATGTATACTGATTTTAGGGTGTAAAGGGTTAAAGGAAGAGGCAAACACATTTTCTAGATTCACATTTGAGACTCGCTTTCCTCTCACGGCAATAGGGATTGCAGGTTCCATTCTATCTCAGGTCACGGACCGTTCACAATGTGATCATATCAGATGTAGCGTAGGAAACGTAATTCTGCACCCAAATTTCAAAATGAGGTGCCTGCTCGCGTGACAACAGCCTGTTAAAGAGCAGTAAACAGGTTTGAGAGTTTGTATCGGGCGTAAGAATGGTAAACCGTAACTGACATTCTATTACATCGTGGCAGTATCGTGTCCTTTCATTTTTTTCAGATGCGGGTAATTGCTTCATTGAGAAGGGAAAAAATGATACCATTTATTCTCCCGAGTCTATCAGCTTGACTTTTAAAAAATTGAAAAGCTCTGGAGGATATGAAGGGAAGGTGTCATGGGAACCTTTCAAAGGTAAGCTAGGTGATCACACCAGTTTTTTAAAATCACCACTGCGGTCAGCCTGTATTAAGCGGTCGGCACGCCATTCCCCATGGATAAACGCTTATAATACAAGTTTGACTGTATTTTCCGTATTTTTTTCTGTATTTTTGGCACTCCCACCGGTTGAGAGCATGTCAGTTAATCCCACCAGGACGAAGAGGTGATAGTAAATAAAAAGAAAAAATGAACCTGTTACAAGTAGGCAAGTAACCACAAGAAATGCTAAATTTTCTCTAATTTTAGGCTTCGAAAACATGAAAATTCGAATGTCTCACGAGGTCTTAATTTTACAATTTCCTCCTCTAATGTAGGACTAAGGAGCAAACTTTTTCAAGGCCCAGGACACTTTCTAGGCTGCAATGTAGAATTATCACAACCAGCTGAATTGAGGTTCTTTGACTTTTTACCAGATGACGCGTTAAACTGGACTGGATATAAAGTAATCTATATCATAAACCGAACTGACGTAGAATGTAAGGTCTTTGGCAAGGTGAGGAAAATTTCCCCTTCGGAGCATGTTTTTCATTAGTTGACGAGTTTACTCATTTCTGCTTCGTGGTGTGTTTGTTCACAAGAAGTCTACCACTTAATTGCGCTGAGACTGCCTCCCACAACTTTCATATGCTTTATTTTCAACACAGATGACATAGACTTACTAAAACTAAAGTTCCTGGAATTGCAGAATCACATTTTACTATTTAAAATTCTGTTTTCTCCAATTAAACATGTCTTGGCTTATTGAGGCTTGAGATCTGATGAAAGTGTCTGTTATTTAGTGAACAAAGAATTCCCGCCTTAAGCATAGGCGGAAAAAAAACGCAATCGAGGCACCGTTTGTCAGAGGATACAAAGAAAAATGTAAAATCCCTTTCCGAAAATGCCTAGTAATGCCCCTAAAGAAATGCACGCGGTACGAACAACAATATACAGAACCGTCACGCATATCTGTGACAGACTATTTGACGAATTATCGCTTACTGCAGGGCCATTTACTTTACCGCAGATCTGACCAGCCAGCTTCTACAAACCGTACTCTGATGAGCTGAGGTTCTCGTAAGGTCGGATCCTGTGAGCAGTGTTATCCTTTGCTGTACGATCGTATCTTTCATTGCTCTTTCGTTTTGTAGCGGTCACTGACGTTTATCATCCATACAATGATCGCCACACCTAGCACAACACCCATTGCAGTACACCTTAGTACTAAGATGATGGCACACCGCTGCACTTCAATGGGTTACGCTTCATGTGGCTTTAGGCTATTGCTAAACGATTTCTGAAAGCGTACCTGGCGGATATAGATTTTAGTTTAGCGCACTAAAACTGACATACATGCCCAGTTAGCATAATTTTACTGTGTCTGTTTCAGAATTTTACGAGCTATAAAATACAAGAGCTGCAAAGTGGATGGATAATGGCTGCGCTTGTAAGTAATTTGTTTTGCGCATATCAATTAATAGTTGAATTATGAGATCGAAATTTTCATCGCGTGATGGCGTCACAAGAAGTGTGGAAAGAGGAATTGAACTAGGCTATTTGTTATCTTATATTTTAGCTGGAAGGCCTTAGCGCTTTAGGCGTGCCTGCTGAAAGGTAAAGCAGATACCTCTTTCGTCACTAACATTCAATTTGTATTGACACTTTCTTTTTCATTAGGTTACTCTTCTGCCATACCCGACTGGATACGGTCTTTCGACCCCCGGTAAGCTAATGAAACGTATCAACTATTATCAAGAGGGTTAGGGTTATCAAGTGTCAAGAAAGAGAAATTCTGAACAGATATTACCAGCTTGCCAGATATTGACAGCCCGCCATGTTGTGCTGAGAATAACCCTCACATGATCCAACATGGTTAAGAATGTGAGATTCGAAATCGAAGCCTATCATTCTTTATTCCAATTACGGCTTCGTCAAATAACATCGATTGTCGTCAGGCCAAAGGCGATGAATGAAATCGGTCGGCGTGCCCTTATTTTCGCAAGTTAAGACAGTGCACTCTCCTCAAAGGATCTGCAAGATCTTCTGGACTTCCAAGTTTTTTCTTTGGAAAACATTTCTGAAAGACCTGGAGTCTCTTAGCCTTTCAAAAATTGCTTGCGTGGAGCAGTACGCGGAACCGAAATAATTTTTTTCCTCTGCGAGCATCGAAATAAGCAGCAGGAGATTAAATATGTGTTGATTCAAGCCTTTTTAGCGAAAAACCAATCTCTCATTAAGACAATCCAGAAAACGTTTATTTTCTAATAACTTATTCCACATCTTATTTCACTGAGCCAACTTTCGGTTGGATTATTCATTTCGCAATTAGATTGCAATTAACTGATAAGCAGCCTGTTTTTCCTCGGCATTTTTTTCATTTTTTTTTCAGATTGTGATGTTTCACATGAAAAAATTTGTAGGTTTGGTGAGTATTCCTTATAATATCAATGTGTGTATAGGTAATAACATGATTTCGAGTGCACTCTGGTGTTAATAAGCACGAGTAGAGTTAATTCTTTCAAAGACAACAAAATTGCACGAGCCCGTTGAGCGAACGCAATTTGTAGCCTTTGAAAAACTTACAAGCGCTTGTTTACACCAAATTGCAAGAGAAATCATTCTATTACTCATTACGGTAGCGATAACAACGACAACAACAACAAAAACAAAAACGTCAACACCAGGTTTGCTTTAAAAGATTGCATATCTCAATTTTGAGACACCAAAACTGTAGAAATGAATCTAAGTTTTCAACTGCGTACTTTTCGACTGGAAATTATTATTATTGTTATTATTACTATTATTATTATTATTATTATTAATAGTAGTAGTAGTAGTAGTATTGTTGTTGTGGGGTCATGTTGCACTTGCTATAACTTTGTAATTTTAAAAGAATTATTATTAATAAATTTTTTATCCTTTGCAGATGTCATAACAAAGGCTCCATCAACGATAAAAACAACAACAACAACAGCATCAACAACAACAACAATATCAACACCAGGTTTGCTTTTAAAAGATTGCATACTTCAATTTTGACACATCAAAACAGTAGAAATGAATCTAGGTTTTCACATGCCTACTTTCTGACTGTAAAAAGGAAAATTTATTTCTTCAGAGGCACATAATTCTTAATAAATACTTGATGACAAAGTAGTATCAAATTTCTTGAAGGGGTCAACAGACCTAATAGTAGAGCAAATTAGTTAAAATTAGGACACAAAGTATTTTTTCTTAAGTATTCAGCTTCTATTTACAATTTTGGCAAATAGATATGTTTTATATATTCATTGCAAATATTGTTCTACCAGCCATAAACTTTATGTTAAAGGGATAGTTTTCACGTAAAAATCTGGTTATCTTTTTAGTGTTAAGCTCCACTTCCTACGTTTTAAAATTTCCTGTTTCATACTTTTTTGCTTTTTGATTTATCAATACATATAAGATACGACTTTCTACAATAATTACTGACAACTACTTATAAGACGATCAGGTTAACTTTTCTTTCCTGTTTTAAGTGAAATTCTTGCAAATTTTGGACATTTAACCCTTTTGACGCTAAATGACCTTTACTATTTGATAACTTATCGAAATATGTGTGCAAAATATCTTCGTCAAATACTGGAAGGATGTCCGAAGAAGGCCTTGAAGGAATAACCTACTAAAGGGATTAATAAATTATGCTTGTAGAGGTCAACGTAGACAAATTTCTCGAAAACAAGAGTGCTGGAAAAATCTTGGTGATGACAAAAAACCTTTTATTATCAAATTAAAATGGGTTGTCGGAAGCGAAGATTATGACAATTTCGATAGCGACAACAACGATAGCAACAACAACAACAAGAATGTCAACACCAGGTTTGCTTTAAAAGATTGCATACCTCAATTTTGAGACACCAAAACTGTAGAAATGAATCTAAATTTTCATCTGCGTACTTTCCAACTGGAACTATTACTATTGTTATTATTATTATTATTATTATTATTAGTAGTAGTAGTAGTAGTAGTAGTAGTAGTAGTAGTAGTAGTAGTAGTAGTAGTAGTAGCAGTATTGTTGTTGTCTGTCATGTTGCACTTGCTATAACTTTGTAATTTTGAAAGAATATTTATTAATAAATTTTTTATCCTTTGTAGGTGTCGCAAAAAAGGCTCCACCAGGTTTGCTTTTAAAAGATTGCATACTTCAATTTTGAGACACCAAAACAGTAGAAATGAATCTAGGTTTTCACATGCCCACATTCCGACTGGAAAAAGGAAAATTTATTTCTGCAGAGGCACATAATTCTTAATAAGTATTGGATGACAACGTACTGTTAAATTTCTTGAAGGGGTCAACAGACTTTACAACTGACCTAATAGTAGAGCGAATTAGTTAAAATTAGGACACAAAGTATTTTTTCTTAAGTATTCAGCTTCTAAGTGAATGAAGATTTTAGATATATGAAAATTCATATATTTGCACTGCGGTGGAGAGATGAAATTAGGAGATCCTCGCAGCTAAGAACACTTGGATGTTTATTTGGACCCATTTCATTGACCAGCTCCCAGTTGGCTTGTTAGCTCAATTGGTAGAGCGCTGCACTGGTATCGCAGAGGTCATGGGTTCAAATCCCGTACGGGCCTGAATTTTTTTCAGGTCCTATTTACAACTACTCGTTTCAGTAGTGTTCTTAGCTGCGAGGATCTCCTAATTTCATATTCAGCTTCTATTTCCAATTTTGGAAAATAGATATGTTTTATATATTCATTGCATATTTTTTGCATTTTGATTAATTCATGTTTCCACAAACAATGCATAGAAGATACGATTTTCTGCGATAGTTATTGACAACTACTTATAAGACGATCAGGTTAACTTTTCTTTCCTGTATTAAGTAAAAATTCTTGCAAAGTTTAGACATTTAACCCTTTTGACGCAAAATCACCTTTACTATTTGATAACTTATCGAAATATGTCTGCAAAATATCTTCGTCAATTGCTGGAAGGATGTCCAAAGAAGGCCTTGAAGGAAAAACCTATTTAAGGGGTTAATAAATTATGCTTGTAGAGGTCAACGTAGACAGAAGAGGAATTTCTCGAAAATAAGAGTGCTGGAAAAATCTTGGTGATGACAAAAAACCTTTTATTATCAAATTAAAATGGGTTGTCGGAAGCAAAGATTATGACAATACGCCTTTCCTCTTTTATTTGATTTTTTTTTTCAGGTAACAAAAAGAGGAACACTATCATTGTTGGAGTAGTTTTGGCCATTGCCTTTTCGGCAAGCATAATAGTAACACTGCGTTATTGCCGACGATTGCAAACCGATCTTACACCATCGATGCCAGGTTAGTTTTTTCCCCTCAAAATTCACTTGAATTCAATCCAACATACGGATGCGCCTCGTTATACTCGCGTATCATTTTAAGCTCTAGCTACATTTTGACGTTGTCTGTGATCTATTACTGATGGCATTCAGTAGACACATCTCTTTCATGAAATTAGGATATATAGCTCTTGTAAGATTAGAAAACTGCTATACTGGGACTCGTATCATCTGTGATCAACTATACGTACTTCTTTGATTTTTCAGATTTAAAATTTGAGTACGATGCATTCGTTATATTCAGCTCAGAAGACTCGGATTGGGTGGTAAACACTCTCATCCCAACTCTGGAGAAAAAGCATGGCTTGAAGTGCTGCATACATTACAGGAATTTCACACCAGGAGTCCTTTTTAGGGACAATGTGGTGGAAAGTGTTTACAAGTGTAGAAAAACCCTTGCTATTGTCTCTACTCACTTTTTTGATAGTAATTATTGTGGATCAGAACTGGATTTCGCCCTTCATCGACTTATGGAAAAGAGGGATGACAGCCTAGTTGTCATCAAACTTGATGAAGTTGATAAAAGGAAACTTCCCATCGAACTGCAAGAGAGGAGTTACATAGACTATTCGAAATCCGTCGAAAAGGAAGCGTGGGAGAAAAAATTGGTTGACTGCTTAAAGAACAAAGCTAACAAATAAAACAAAGCAAGCAATAAATCATAAACAGAAAAAGCAAACGTCGATATTTGCCTTGTAAGCTTTCTCGCGGGTGCCATGTAATACAAAAGGGACGGCGGGAGAAAATTCAAAATTTCAAGAGAGTCATCATTGACTTATCTATTTCTGTATTACTGTGTTACAAATCTAATTTGCGACCGACATGTCGTCTCTATTCTCGCACCTGCTATGTGCTGCACGTACACCTATTTTGGTTCGTCATTAATTTCTATCCGTTTCCGGTGAGATGTTTAAAAGCCACCTCGTGAAAGGTAGCTACCCGATGAAATAACATGTTTACTTCAATCTTATCTGCAATTTTCACATGATTGTTAATGTCTCGTATCAGTAGTAGTTTTGGAAGAATTTATAATAAAGTTCGGACATAACGCGTGCTGTCATTGGTTAAAATACCGTGCTCTATGAGAGTATAGAGCATAGAACTGAGCTAAAGCTGTCACGCTATCTGCCAAATTGTACTATGTCCGACCTTTTCCGGGACTTCTTTCTAGCTTTTCTTTCGTTAATTGAAAGTGAAATTTCGGAACAAGCGAGCAAAGATTTGCAAAAATGCCAGATGCAGTAATTTTCGTTACTGTAACGTGAGCAGAGACAAAAATCCTCAAAGATAAAACAAAATGGACAGTCCGAGTTTTAAAGTTTTTCACGTTCAGTTTAATTGCAAGTTTACGTGCGGTAATAAAAATCAAATACAGCTGAGACTTGTTTAGTATATAAAGTTTCGGGTTCAAGAACAAAAAAGGGAATGATGAAAAATATAACCTGGCATCACTGTTAAAATTCATTCTGATCATGATGGTGTCACAGCGACTGCGATCATACTGAGGTCTATGCGGAATTCGGCTGTCGTTCATCCATAAAACACTCGTCTTGAGCAGTTTGTTTTCTACTTGTCATGTGAAATAACTTGCATATTTTTGTGAGCCACGATTGGGCCGAGTTTCACAGAACATTTCACTTTCAGATTCTGTATTAGAAACTAAAAAACTTCAGGCAAAAGTGTTAAATTCGACATGCCGAACTATTTTAGTTTGTAAGCTATTGCAGAATATGAACTTTGATGGTTTTTGAACTTTGATGGTTTGACATTTTTGACAGCTTTAGTCTTGTACAGCCAATCAGATTATTTGAAACATTCTAACAGGAATTCGAATCGGCTTATTGTGACGTGCTTTATGAGAGAATAGAGCATGCTGACGACACTGTTATTGTTGTTATTTTGAAAATTGAAAGTAATGCGCGGGGAATTTAACGGATTCTCTATTATAAAACAAATAGAGAAGCCTTGACTGTGCTCTGTTCTGTTGTAAAGCACTTAGGAAGCTGCTAGAGCACGCAAGAAGTGGGGAGAAACACTTGGTTTCACGGTTGAAATCGGCTGAATCTGTTATAAAGCTCGTAATCATCTTTATGTAAATATGGAGGAGCCTTGTGTGTTGACCTGCGACAAGTATAGCAACATCGCGAACGAGAAGTCTGTGGATTTTTTGTAATTTTTTTTGTTTTAGCCAAAAACAAATTTCCTTGGGAATTTTTCTAACATTCGCAGTATGCCAACAATGCTAGTTTTTGTGAATGATGGTTATTTTTGCAAAAATGTAGATAATATGGTTCTAGTCGCTTTTACTTTAAATTTACTAAAAAATACCTCCATGACTAAAACGTTTACAACAAATAAGCAAAAGGCAAACACATTTAGCCTACTTGTAAATAAATTGAAAACTTAAGATCCCAAGACGGAATGAGCTAGGACGGCTATCGAAAATATATTTGCAAAACATGGCATGCGCAAATGAAGCCTAGATTCGTGTTCTCCCCCCGTCCTGATTTCGTCGACGACACCATTCAGCTTGCTTTGCCTTCGTCTCGAAAATATATATACTAAGTTGTTGTTTTGCAGTCGCGGTCATCTGTGATGCGGAGCAGTGTCCGGTGAAGAAAATGAACGGACTGTAGTAATCGAGCAAACCTCTCCTCTGAATAGTCTATTTAAATCAAATTTGGTTCTAAAGTATCACTCAAGCTTCTTACATGTACCTCCTGGTTGTCGATGTTCAACTTTGGCTCATAATTTTGAGAGGTATTTCACGTTTACGTCAGGACGGATTCCCAATTATTCGTTCCGTAGGATCTGAAGTTTGAATCGAGTCGTAATTTCCAGGGAGCCAAAGGTCGTCCTTCGTCAGACGAAGGGTCAACGCTCGAAACATCGGCCCTTCAACTCTTTACGGTGGCAAATTTACCTTTTCAACTCAGTGGTTAACACTAAATTACAAAATTGGAACATCATGTGAAAGAATAGAACAACATACATACATATTTAACATTAATTCAACCATTTTCTAAAATAGATATCTTCCCTAAACCAGTATACTTCTAAGCAGTGTAAGCATTGCTAGAAATTACACCCAAGAGACACTTGTGAGTAAAGCTTCCCTTTTCAATGACTTTGCAAAGTGATAACGTAAGGCAGCTTATGATTAAGACTGATTTAAAGCACAGAAAATATCAAAATAACATAGAGGCAACAAATGGTCCAGTTCCTGTACAAGAATATAGATCTTGTTTGATTTGTGAATCTGAAAAACAAAGAGCCATAGAGCAGCATTGAGTATTCTTCCAGTGGATGTGAGAATACATGTACTCATACTGCTACTTTAGATATCATCAAAATATGAACTTTCAGCAAGTACTACCTAAGGCATTCGCCAAGTCATTGAAAACAAAGGAAATGGTGACAAGGGTCTGCCTATGCTCAATTGCAAGCAAAGCTTGCTCCAAAAAGGCAAAATTGCCTTTGACTGATTATAAGAAACATTGAAAATATGAAATGAGCCAAGAAACCCAATGAGCATCAAGAATTCTTTTCTTGTGGAAGGTGACACATTACACTTTGCTCTGTTACTATGGACAGGAGATCGATGTATTGAAGGTCGCCAACAATTAAAATTTGTGCTGGACATAATCTCTGATTGCTGAATCAGCATCAGCTACGCTATGCAATGAAGACAAATTTTACAACTATATTTAAAACAAGCCAAAGAGCAAAAAGTGCCTGTAGCCAGTAAAAATTGCCTACTAGTCTGCCATTTTTAGTTAGTCCCTCTCCCCTCATTTCGTTTACTCAGATGGTATATGTATATATATATATATATATATATATATATATAAATAAATATATATATATATATATAGGATGCTTTTCTAACACTATAGGCCAAAACACTACAAACGGAAATGGAAATTTGGCTCAATGCTAATAATTTGTCTCCCATTCAATGCTTGAAAAATGACGCAAGACTCCCAAAATATCTGAAAAGAATCCGCTATTCCATTTGCAATATTTATCAAATGGTTTGACAAAAGGAAATTTAAAAGACATGCTAAATAAAAAAAACCGAACATAAAGAAGGCAAAATAAGATACAGCCTCAAGGTACTTGAGCCGATACTTGAGCCGATGTAGGTGGACTTCATAAGCAAATGGGCTCAGTAATTATAGCTGTTTATTTTTGTACCAAAGTAGCATTTTTTTGGACTCATATCTACAAAATTTTCACAGCTTAATTCAATGCATATGTGATGGCAAACACAAAAGAACAAAGGTCATGAACTTAAAAGGTCAGAGCGATTATTCTGCACCTTTTTAGTTCAAGGCTAGAGATTCAGCACCACAAAGTTGTCTCTTTTCACTACAAGCAGGATAGGCAAAGTAATAGATTTTTAAATTTCACTAATCCATTCAGTTTCCGCGTCAACTGGTATTCTGCCAGCCATACAAGGATATTATGCAATAAGTTTTTGCAATCCACTGCTGCTCAGAGTACTTTAGGTTGCCGGTGAGATATCCCTCCTGGATATCTGTGATGTTTTGAATGGATTTCAAAACAAGATGCAAATGATTAACAACGATTTAATAAACAGTTGTAAGAAGACGTGTTACAACATCGGTGGACGCCATGATCGTTTTTGCTACATATATCCCATAGTTCCTAGTGAACATCCGGTATCGATAACTTCCGGTTTACATGAACATTACAGATATCCAACTCTACTGAGGCAGAGAACTGTACAAAAAATAAACAAATGAGCAAATTAATTTGTTGTTTGAGAACAGTCGTTTATTACAACTACAAAGTTTCCATATATGTAAACAAACTGTGCATAAAAAGAAAAAACACAATCATGGTTCAATGATCATCAATGATGTACTTTCACCACACTCTATAATTATGTACTTATCAAGAAAAGAAATCCTACCTTTATGCACTTCGGTTCTAGTACAGTATTCATGAATTAATAAGGATTGCTTGTAGACTTAAAAGACAAAAAAAGATAAGACATGGTTTGATGTTACTCTGGTTTACAGATTTAATGAATGTAACCGAAGAAGTTACAATTCATAGACTCAACGTTTCGACACTCCTGTCTAGTGCCTTCATCAGGGGTGATCTAAACGCTGCAACAAGAGGTCCTTTTATATGATCACTAATTAGCTGCCTTTTTTCTGACGAGGTGTAAATAGGCGTCAGGAAGCAAGCCGCCATCGTCACGATTTAAAGGAGCGTGGGCGGAGTTAATTTGCCAAGCCTCCAAACTAAGGCGCTGGTGGTAACGCCGATTAGTGGTGATAATTTTAGAATTATCCCACCCAATTGTATGGTTAGTTAGGCATGTGTGCTCCGATAAAGCTGAATTTTCTTTTCTGCAAAAGAAAACCGCTTTTTGATGCTCATTTAAACGTGTACTAAACTGACGTTTGGTCTGTCCGCTGTATTCGTTGTCACAGTCATTGCAAGGAATAGAATAAATGGCCTCGGTGCGTAGTTCTTTCGTGACAGGATCCTTAGGTTTAGCGAAAATACGCCCCAAAGTTTGAAAAGGTTTTGGAGCAACTTTAACGTTGTGGCTATTCAAAATTCTCTTGACGGATTCCGTAACACTCTGAATGTAAGGAATAACAACAAAACCAGTCGCTGGTTCTCTTTCATTAGAAGTGTTACTAGTTGCAACTGGTTTTTGGCAGTTACGGAGAAAGGTTTTTTTTATAGCCATTTGCCTTTAGGACATTAAAAATATATTTCCTCTCCTCAGCCCTCGAATCGAGTGAAGATGGTAGACAGTCAGCCCTCCTGAGGAAAGGTTTGACTACAGACGTTTTATGGCAAATAGGGTGGTGAGAATAGAAAGCGAGGTATTTGTCTGTGTGGGTAGGTTTACGGTAGACACTTGTCTCTAAATTACCCTCAACCCCTCTGGACACATTTAGATCGAGAGAGGGAAAATTTTTATCTTTTTCACGCTCAAGAGTGAATTGGATCGACGGCTTTACTGAATTCAAATGCGATAGGAGGTGCTCCACTTCATTTCCGTATACCGCAGAAATAACATCATCGACATATCGTTTCCAGAAAAAGGGTTCAACCAGTGAAGAAGCTAAGGCCCTTTGTTCCACGTCTCCCATTGCCATGTTAGGAATGATAGCGGAGATGGGCGAACCCATAGCTGTACCAAAAACTTGTTGATAGTAAGTGCCGTTATATGCAAATTGCGTGGTTTTGAGGCAAAAAGACAGCAGATGAATAATATCCTCCACATGCAAAGACGTTCTTTGTCTTAGGGAAGCATCTTCTTGGAGTCTCTCCTTCGCAACCTTAACGGCAAGATCAACTGGGATTTTAGTGAAGAGCGAAACAACGTCGAAAGATAATAATTCTTCACAAGCGTTAAGAGTTTTATCTCTCATGAAATCCGCAAATTTGCAGGAAATTTTTATATTGTAATCAGTATTCCCAACAACAGGCGACAAAATTCTCGCAAGATAACCAGAAATTGCATAAGTCGGAGAATTAACAAAAGAGACAATGGGTCTCAAAGGAATTCTCGGTTTATGAATTTTAGGTAAGCCATAAAAACGTGGACATAAGCCGTCACTACTGTATAACATTTTGTACGTAGAGTCGCTAATTTTACTTAAAACTTCCTTAGGCGATTTACCCTTTTCTTTCGGTGCCGATGTCACTTTTAAATTTTCATAATCGCTGATGTTTTCTGAATCATCAATCGACGTTTGAAACGTCTTACTCGAAGGACTTGATTCTGCACGCTGAAAGAGCTTAAATTAAGCTTAAGTGGATACGAACAAAGACATAGACATAAAAATATAAGTTAATCCGCTTTTAGAGAAAAAGATTAAGAATTCAGAGTGAGAAATCCTGAAATCAGAGAATCTTGAAATAAGTTAAGTCCACCTGGAGCAAACGTAGTATTCGAACTGTAACCGTCTCTATCTCTTGGTGCCAAAATTAGGACACATGTCCGTAGTTGTGAAACCTCTGAGACTCAACAAGGCTCAGGAGAAAAGGCGAACCTTGCATGCATCAAATTCTCTGATGGGAAATTAATAATCGTAACGACGAAGAACTCGTGTAATCTTTAGGTTCAGCGTTCATTGCAATAAATGTCTTGAACTTTAGATGCTCCTTTATAATAAGGAAGTACTGCCTTAGTTCGCCTTCATCTTGGAAAATGGTAAGGAGATCTTGGCCATCGCAACCGTCGTTTTCTGCAATATAAGATACGAACAAAGATCAATGGAGCAGTCAAGTTTGTGTATGTAAAGTTGCAATGAAACGTGTTGCTAAGCAAATTTTTTTTCCTTACCTGTCCTTTCTTAAGTCTCATTTCATGTGACTGGAGCTAAGAACAGCCTCTTCAAAGATGAATTCGCTGCTATAATTCATAATCGTGTCTGACGCACGCGGTCTAGGTTCGACTAATGTGACACGCAGAAGGAACTGCTAAGACGCACTAGCAAAAGAAGGACGGATTTTGGGGAGAAATCCCTTTTACAACAAAATTTTACTCATTAAAAAATTCACCGCATAAAGTTGAGTAAGCCAATCGATAGTTTAAGATTTTCCGCAGTTTCAACTTTTACCAGTATAGGGCCCCTATTTATAACATCCCGAATCCCTGTCCTTGTCTCATTCAAGTCGTGATGGGACTTCCACGTAACCAAAATTGTTGACAATGTTGGGTTTATTTTCAGTCATTTCAAGAATTTCATCTTGTTGGGGCCAGATTGTTAAATCCTACCTGGCTCTTGGAAGGGCCAAATTGAGCAAAAGTTCCAAAGTAGAACTCATTTGGCCAATTCAGATTTTGGAGGGGTCAAAATGGTACCTGTCCGACCCGTTTTGGCTTAAAAAGTCCAAACGAACCTCAAGGGGCCAAATTGGCCTTCAAGACACTGGGGGCAATTTGGCTTTTGGGGTCAATTTAGCTCTCTGCATTTTACAGTGTGCTATACTCTCCCACCGACGCAGCACCACGGTTTCTTAGGAAACCTACCCCCTTTATTCAAAAGTATGGAGTCCTACCTAAGGAACAATAGAATGGTCTAATGCTCGCTCTCGTTCTTAGACTGTTAAATTGAAACTAAGATGTTCATTTTACTACGGTTTTCCGCTGGATGGCTCAAATTGGGTTTCCATGACTTTGTACCTTAGTGGCAAACAAACGGAATCTTCAGCTCTTTTGCAAGAGATAAAATTTCAGTTTTTTCCAAAGCGAAATTCAACTTCGCATTCGGTCTCATTCATCGCGTCTAAGTCTAATTGATCGAATTATCCATGTGGGAATTCAGAATATTTGGAGAAGTTTCCCACGTACAGTAAAACAGAGAAGGTTCCTTACATCTATAAAGGTCGCCATTATAGAACTATTGGCGTCGCCGTCTCGTGTAGGAACTACTCAAGATCCTAAGTATTTTGTTTTTAGTAGGCACGACAGAACTCGACCCATCAGTAGTGATTACACACACCATGGGTTTAGGGGCTTACGGAGGGTAAATGGCTTTGGTTTGGTTAAGCTCAGGTTTCATGTTACCCTTGAGATATATACGGTTAGACCGTAAAAGACTCTCTCAGGGTTAAATAGAATTAGATATGAGTTCACTGACCTTGCAAATTGGTAGGAAAAGTGCAGAGGAACATGAATGTCACGAATAAAGATCTAATAAGCTTACTTTCAGTGATTTTCCTGCTTATTTTACGACAATGTAGTTGGAACAATAGATGAAAGCCATGTGACTATAAGGCCCCGAAAGTTAACCACGAAGACTAATTTAACCGTAAACATTTCTTCAGTTTTTTAGTTCAGGAAATAGTTGATGCCTCTGGCCTCAAACTATCTGTTGCCACTGGTTTTCCTGGAAGTCTACATGATGCTCGCATGCTACGTTTAACTGACGTTTATTGGGCTGTTGAAGAGGAGAATATCCTGATGGAACCCACATTTGACTTGGGCGGAACTGTAGTGCGCCCTCTTATCGTGGGAGACACTGCTTAACCAACCAAACGCTGGCTTATCCGACCATGTAACCCATGTCCATGTACCATGTAAGGATACTGATTGTCTTACGCACCACTAGGGGAAGTTTAACCGAGAGGTATCTAAGGCGAGAACAGTATCCGAACACCCATTTGGTATGACCAAAGGAAGATGGAGGGTTTTTACTAAGGCGCCTAGCGGGACAGTGACAATACCAGACACTATCATTGCATGATGCGTGCTAGATAACATTTGTGTTTTACGAGGAGATGAACTCGACACAGCTGATGGTGATAATGATGATAGTAATCCTCATGATGATGATGACGACAGTGCCCCCCCCCCCCTTCCCAGGCTAGAGCTGTGGTTCTACAAGCCCTTGTTCAAAACGTTGCAAATCAATAGGCAGTATCCCCTTGATTTTGTCCTCGTTACGTCCTAAATTATAGAAGGTAACAAAATATTTGTATTTTGATTTGCAATTTATTTGAGAAATTAACTTATTTAAGGTAACAGCAGATTTAATAAAAAATATATATAGTAACATAAAATCAATCGAAATAGCGTAGAAATGATCACGGGATATTTACAGATGATGAGATGTTATTTTTTTGCTACAAAACTGCAACGTGTATTATACTAAGGTAATCGCGGTTGTAACCATTTTACAGCACTGTGTATTTCAGTGTCCAAAATGATATTCGAGATCACTTAAAATGTCTTTTTGCAACCGTTAACTGTTCCCTTTTTTTTTCTTTGGAATAGAAGCGCTGAGTTGAAACTTATTTTTTGAAGCAGACTTGTCCCCGAGTTCCTAACGCAGACTTTGGTGTTGTCGCTGCGCTTCTGCTCGAGATTTGAGGAGAGCTTTAAAAACACTCTCGTCATTCTCCTTGGATCTTTGGATGGATTCTTGCTGAGACTGCATCATGTCAACGATTGCTAGCTTCATGTCATCGCCGCTAAGCCTTTTTCCCATTTTTTCCAGTTTTCTCTGCAACCGCACTATCGCCTTCAGTAATGGTGACTGGTCGTTTCTCTGGTTTCTTGCCACAATCTTGATTTCCGGTCGACAAAATATCGTCGGTATCATTAGAACTATAATCTTGTTTATGGGCTTTTGTTTCGTTGACAAATCTAGGATTTACTTTGTCTGATGAAGCCATAAATTCGTCTCCTCATTGTGTTGGAACGTTTTCCATTCCCTTCCCTTGCGATTGTTGTTATCACATACACTTTTGTATTTGTCCAAGAGCGCCCGCCACTTCTCTTTTAACTTCGCTCATAGCTTTTTAAACTCCACTCCAATGTCAAAGCACATACTTTGAAACTGCTTCAAAATATATTCCCATTTGTTTTTCTTGCCTTGACTGCTTTTTGTAGACTTAAGTCTATCGTAGTACTCCTGATAAGCGGAAATTTAAGTTAAGCGTCTCTCTTCGGTCAACGACCAGCTACTGCGCTTGTTGCGATCGTCACCTCGGTTCAAGAATTCACTTGGAGTTGGACTGGCGCTGTCCCTGTTTGGTTCAAACTGAAGGTGATCGCCAGCACCGGGGACAGGTTTCTGGTAAATCGGGCAGGGATTTAGCATCGCTGGACAATGCAGA